GCCACCAGGGAAGCCCTAAATACTTATTCTTAAAGCACAACCTTCAAAATTCCATTTATATGCCATTATTTCATCTTAGTGCTACCATACGAGTGACAGTACCTCCTAGCAATCAGGAAACGGGGTGCAGGGGTCACACTGCCTGGACCCAAGGCCAGGCTCTGCCACTTTGTAGCAATATGACCTTGGCAGGACCTTCAACCTCTCAGGCCTCACCTTCCCCATCCACCCAGCAGGGAGACCGTGAAGATTAATGAACTAATGTAACTCATATACTGAATACTTAGAACAGTAACTGCATATAGGACACTTTACAAACATTAGCTATCATGCCTGAGCTACTCTCTGCTTGATAAATATGGTATTTGACAAGTTGTTAGGTCAAAAACTTCTTCAAATAGTAAAGTACATCAGTCTTACCAGTACCTCAGGATTTGGAAGCCTCTCTATAACGATCTCTTTTTCTTTTTAAACAAGAGATAAGTTGCAGTGCAACACATATTCACACACACAAATGAGAAAAACAAAGCATCTTATTTGTAATTGGCTACACCAAGTACAGCAAATTTAAGTGTTAACATCCGTTTCATAGATAACTGCAATTTTTCAAGGTTTATGATTCCACAATAAAAATTCATTTCCCAAGAAAGCATGCACATATATCTCAGTCTGCATTTCATTGCAGGCATACCTCAGAGATTGTGGGTTCGGTTCCAGACAACCACAATAAAGCAAATATTGCAATAAAGTGAGTCACATGTATTTTTTAATATAAAATTAAAAAGAAAAATATAAAATATATTTAATATATAAGATATTTAAAATATATAAAAGTTATGTTTACACTATACTGTAGCCTATTAATTGTGCACTATGTCTTAAAAAAAAAAAACAATGCACACACCCTAGTTAAAAATACATTTTTGGGTTTCCCTGGTGGCGCAGTGGTTGAGAGTCTGCCTGCCGATTCAGGGGACACGGGTTCATGCCCCGGTCTGGGAAGATCCCACATGCCGCAGAGCGGCTGGGCCCGTGAGCCATGGCCGCTGCGCGTCCGGAGCCTGTGCTCCGCAACGGGAGAGGCCACAACAGTGAGAGGCCCGCGAACCGCAAAAAAAAAAAAAAAAATACTTTTTTGCTACAAAATGCTAACCATCCTATGAGCCTTCAGTGAGTTATGACCTTCTTGCTGGTGGAGGGTCTTGCCTGGATGTTGCTGGCTCCTGACTGATCACGGTGACAGTAGCAGAAGGCGGGGGTGACTGCGGCAGTTTTTAAAAATAAGACAACACGGAAGTTTGCCGTATCAACTGACTCTTCCCTTCATGAATGACTTCTCAGTAGCATGAATGCTGTTTGATAGCATTTTACCCACAGGAGAACTTCATTCAAAATTGGAGGCAGTCTTCTCAAACCCTGCTGCTGCTGCGTTATCAACTAAGTTTATGTCACATTCTAATCCTTCGCTGTCATTTCAGCAGTCTTCACAGCAGCTTCAGCAGGAGTAGATTCCATCTCAAGAAACCACTTTCTTTGCTCTCCCCTAAGAAGCGGTTCCTCATCCATTGAAGTTTGATCCTGAGATTGTAGCAATTCAGGCACATCCTCAGGCTCCACTCCTAACTCTAGTTCTCCTGCTGTTTCCACCACATCTGCAGTTCCTGCCTCGACTGAAATCTTGAACCCCTCCAAGTCATCCATGAGGGTTAGAATCAATTCTTCCAAACTCCTGTTAAGGTTGGTATCTTAAGCTCTTCCCATGAATCATAATGTTCCTCTTTGATCCATGGGCTGCAGAACAGATGCTGTGTCAGCAGAGCAGATATGAAAACGACATTAATCTCACTGTCCATCTCCATCAGAGCTTTGGGTGACCAGATGCCTTGTCAACGAGCAGTAACATTTTGAAAGGATTCTTTTTTTTTTTTTTTTTTTTTGAGCAGTAGGTCTCAACAGTGGGCTTATAATATTCAGTAAAGCATACTGTAAACAGATGTGTTGTCATTCAGGCATTGTTGTCCCATTTATAGAGCACAGGCAGAGTATATTTAGCATAATTCTTAATTATGGGATTTCCAGAACGGTAAATGAGCATTGGCTTCAACTTAAACTCACCAGCTGCATTAGCCCCTAACAAGAGGCTCAGCCTGTCCGTTGAAGCTTTGAAGCCAGGCATTGACTTCTCCTCTCCAGCTATGAAAGTCCTAGACGGCATCTTCTTATAACAGATGGCTGTTTCGTCTGCACTGAAAATCTGTTGTTTAGTGTGGCCAGCTTCGTTAATTATCTTAGCTAGATCTTCTGGATAACTTGCTAAAGCTTCTACATCACCCCCTCACTGCTTCACTTTTATGTTATGGAGACTGACAGCTTCTCTCCTTCAGCATCATGAACCAACCTCTGCTAGCTTGAAACTCTTCTTCTGCAGCTGCCTTACCTCCTTCAGCCTTTACAGAATTGAAGAGAGTGGGGCCTGGCTCTGGATGAGGCTTCGGTTTAGGAAATGCTGTGGCTGGTTTGATCTTCTATTCAGCCACTAGAATTTTCTCCATGTCAGCAAGAAGGCTGTTTGGCTTTCTTAGCATCCATGTGTTCACTGGAGCAGCGCTTTTAATTTCCTTCAAGAACTTTTCCTTTGCTTTCAGAACTGGGCTCACTGTTTTTGGCCTATCTCGGCTTGCTTTTTTTTAAAATCTCTGTTGAACTGTAGTTTATTCACAATGTTGTATTAGTTCCAGGTGTACACAAAAGTGATTCAGCCATATATGTATGGCTGAATATATATATGTGTATATATATTATATATACAGAGATTCTTTTCTAGATTCTTTTCCATTATAGGTTATCACAAGACACTGAGTATGGTTCCCTGTGCTATACAGTAGGTTCTTGTTGGTTATCTGTGTATATGTTAATCCCAAACTCTGAATTTATCCCTCCCCCACCCTTTCCCCTTTGGTAACCATAAGTTCATTTTCTAAGTCTGTGAGTCTATATCTGTTTTGTATATAAGTTCATTTGTATCTTTTTTGTAGATTCCACATATAAGTGGTATCATATGATCTATTTGTCTTTCTCTGTCTGACTTACTTCACTTAGTATGATAATCTCTAGGTCCATCCATGTTGCTGTAAATGGCATTATTTCATTCGTTTTTATGGCTGAGTAATATTCCCTTGTATACACGCACCACATCTTCTTTAACCATTCTTCTGTCAATGGGCATTTATGTTGCTTCCATGTCTTGGTTATCGTAAATAGTGCTGCAATGAACACTGGGGTGCAAGTGTCTTTTTGGATTATGGTTTTCTCAGGATATATGCCCAGGAGTGGGATTGCTGGGTCATACGGTAGCCCTAATTTTAGATTTTTAAGGACCCTCCATACTGTTCTCCGTAGTGGTTGCACCAATTTACATTCCCACCAATGACATACCTTCCTCACTGGGCTTCATCATTTCTAGCTTTTGATTTAAACTGAGAGACTTGTGACTCTTCTTTTCACTTGAACACTTAGAGGCCAGTGTAGGTTATTAACTGGCCTAATTTCAGTATTGCTGTGTCTCAGGGAATACGGAGGCCCGAGGAGAGGGAGAGAGACGGAGGGAAGGTTGGTCGGTAAAGCAGTCAAAACACACAACATTTATTACATTTATTGTCTTATTTGGGTGGAGTTCGTGATGCCTCAAAACAATTACAATAGTAACACCAAAGATCTCTGATCACAGATCACCATAATAAATACAACAATAATGAAAAAGTTTGAAATAATGACCAAAATGTGACACAAGACAGGAAGTGAGCAAATGTTGCTGGAAAACTGGCACCAATGGACTTGTTGAATACAGGGTTGCCACAAACCTTCAATTTGTAAACACAATATCTGCAAAGTGTAATGATGTGAAGCATATTTGCCTGTATTTTTTCATTGCCTGTCTTTTAGTGCCTTTCACTTGACTTACAGTAACCAAATCAAAATCATTTTTATGTAAATCCCACAAATTAACACACTGGATCATGACAGTGCAATCACGAAGTAAGGAACAAAGAAAGTAATGTTACAGGAGGGGCAGGATGTGAACTGCTGTTTCCGACTGAAGGTTAATTTCTACGTTGACCACAATCCTTTGTCCATCCCAGCAGGTCCCTACTCAGAGGCTGGCTGAGGTAGCGTTCATCCCAAATATTAGGAAACACAGCACAATACTGTAAAGCTTCCCCTAACGGCATCGTATGGCTCATTTAAAAAAACAACTTCTACTTTTAAATAATACTGCTTCATGGATACCATGTTATGTAAGGTTACTACACACGATGTAAAGTAGAAATTTCAAACTTTAAAAGAAAGAGTCTGGTTCTAATAGTGTACAGTTTGGTAAACTAATCTGTTTACTAACATAATTATGACTGCATTGAGATCGGGCAACTCCTACACCCAGGGAAGGGCTTCCTCTCCCGTGTGTGTGTCCTGCCCTCCGTCTCAAGGGGGCCAACCAAGACTACGAACTGCAGGTACAGTTTTTCAATACAAGAGTTTTCCTTTCGGGTCTTACTAAGACACCAGCTGAGTCTAATTACCAGACTGCTCCATTTTAAAGGAAAGCTTTTATTTACTGAAAATGAGACAGCAAAGCCATTTGTTTTGAAATTTTGCAAAAATAAATCTCTTTCCTAGTGAAAGTACTTGAATATATCTGAGAACTGGATGAAGTGACTTGTATCAACTAATAAGAATGGACACAGTAAAGTTCAGAAGCCCAAATCAGACAAATCAGATATGATTCTAAAAATGAGAGACACCTTGACAAATCACAATACCTAAGTAACTTATCTCTAACTATAATATTCTGAAGTGAAAGTAATTATGGCATGAATTTTTTCCATTCATCTAAGCTCTCCTATTTAGTATTTTAAAATCTAACCAGGCAATAAATATCATGTTTAAAGTTCAGTGATTGTAAACATGTAAAAACATTTATTGTAAAGTAATGACATTCTTACCCCCATCGAAGGCCTTTCCTGGACTCCAAGTGCGGAAATAATCATCCTAAGGAGAAAAATAATGTGAATTGAGTGTCTATGAGTAATTAAAATGTAAAGATTCATATAAAATCAAAAATAAAATGTGAAATACAGAAGCTGAATACAAACCTCTACTTCCTGCAATGGCAAGCAGTAAATTACAAAAAAAATAAACAAAAAGAAAAAAAAGGAACAAGAGAAAAACAATAGTTATCAAATGAGAATACATTGTTAACACGTTATAGAAATATCTTTCAGTAAATGTGTTCATTTTCACGGCAAGTCCACATTTACTATACTGTAAGAATTTAACTGTTTTGGTTGCCACGTCACCTGAATATTATAATGCGATACTTTCAACGCGCAGTATAACACACAATTACGTGAAGCTAATAAGCTTATAAAAGCATCCACCAGTTTCCAATTACACAACTGCATTTTGCACTAGTACATGAGTAAATGGAGGGGGGAAGGGGGGATAAATTGAGAGACTGGGGTTGACATGTACACACCACTATGTATAAAATAGATAACTAATAAGGACCTCTGTATAGCTCAGGGGACTCTAATCAATGCTCTGTAATGGCCTGTATGGGAAAAGTACCTAAAAATGAGTGTATCTATGTATGTGTATAACTGATTCACTTTACCGTACACCTGAAACACAACACATTGTAAGTCAACTATACTCCAATAAAAATTAATTTAAAAAAATATGCTATAATTAAATATGAAATAAATAAGGAAATTGGGGAAAAGAGCCACATATTTGGCTATAAGATTTCAAGCAAACAAAGTAAATTGAACATGAGATTTCTGTTCAATTAAGTGTCCCTGAGATAATTAAAAAAATTACTTTCTCCTCAAAAAAAAAAAACCAGTAACTGGAACAGTTACCATAGCAGGAAACATACCAGGTGACTCTGCAGCGGCCCAGACACTATAAATATACTTTATGAACATCAGTCACATCTAAGGAATTCATCAGAATGCACCGGGAAGCTTGAGAAAAAATGTGCCCCTAATTAAATCTTGCCTGAAGTTTCAATCTTTGATATGGGAAAGAATCATTACATTTACTTGTATTTAGTACATCTGACCATAAAGCACAAAAGTGGGGCAACGGATAGCGCACAGAGCTGAGTCAACTGACTGACTCAATTTTATTCACCGTTTTTACCTAAAAGCCTCGTAAAGGCACCTCAAACAGATCATCTCTTATGCAAACAGAACCGATTTCACTGTTCAAATTAATAAGCTATTTCCACCATCATAAGCAAGAGAAGTGCACTATGGGATGCTCCTTGAAGAAACAGTCCCCGGCCCCAAATCCTAACCCACCAGAAACCTCAGAATGTAGGGAACCCACAAGGCCAAGCAGAGATTCTTTCAAGCTTCTTCTACCCTCTTTGCTAACACCCTCCCGTGTACTGGGAGGGAACGTAGAGCATTTTAATTACAGAAATAAATATACTTCCCTAATTGATTTATTGAACATTTTTTAATTGTTACAAAACATTTTCCTTATTGTGACGAATCACTCATTACCACCTTTTTCACCCCCATCTCTCACCCTCAAAGGAAAGAAGAAAAGAAAAACCACAGAAGACATGTCTGTCTGTCTTCTATTTATGTTGAGATAGGGTTATAACAAGAGAGGGGGCATTTTAGGGTAAAACACGCTGACAGGTTCTGCGCTAAATTATCCAGGATTAGATGAAGGATGGATAACACCACTGGATAATTAGACAAATACTGATTGTTTAGTCTCATCTTAAAATCTCACTTTTAAAAAAATTACGGCATGATACAAATCTTGGGAAACTAGGTTTTCAAATCAAGTACCTACACTCAAATTCTCAAACTTCAGCTGGAGACCACAGCACACTCATGTAATCACTTTTTCAGGTTACCGCTCACTGTGTGGGAAAGATGACTGTGTTCCATTCCAAGCGTGGAGAGGGTTGGGATTCTCCTGAAACACAGGCAAAGCCAGACTCTGGCACCTGGTGATGGCTCTGGAGACGCAGACCTGAATTTGAAGTCTGGCTCCACCATCTAATAACTGCATGAGGCTAGAGAAAAAGATGGTCTAAACCTCAGACGCTTGTACTGAAGTCGGAAAAAGAATACCTACCTGGTCTGGTAAGGGTGGTGCGGGGATTAGTTACAAAAATGCAAAGCACCAGGCCACTCTTGGCAAGAAGCAGGTGCTTAAAGCATGTTTGCCAGTCAGAAGGACTAAGGTTATCCCTTAGTGTCTGGTCAACATCACCACCGGACAAGTTGTCATGACTGCTGACAAAGTCCTGTAGTGTTTGTTTTTTTGTAGAAAGAGCTACGGACCCCTCATCACATTTTTCAAAGTGATGTCCACACTGCAACCCTCCCCCAAATGTCAGATGTGAGATGCAGAGAACTTTTTCAAAGCCAACATTAGTGACTGTGGTTAATGTCAGAAGACAAGTGCTTCTGCTGCCCCCTCAGACTTTCTGAAGTGCCCCACGGCACCATCTGGAAAGGTGCGAGAAGGTGTTTCCTACAATGGTGACTCTGGGCTGTGGAAAGGCTGGCACAGGAATGGAGCTGACACTGAGGCCTGATAACATGACAGCATCACGCCTGCCACGACACGGAGTGTTTGAAATACTCAACACTGTACGGGTTAGCAGGAAGTACGTGGGCATGTAGAGAAAACAACGCGATGGTAAAAGCGAACCTCGACAACTTAACTCAATGTCCTTCAGAATAACATGATCACATTGGCTTATTCTGGGATCAGAGCTATAAAAAATCGGTAATCTTAATGTACAACGTGACCTGGCTTTTTGTTATGTCAAGGGCATCACGGACAGCTGGCCACCGGACATGGTAAAGAAAAGCAAAGTCCTTCCCCTATTAGCTATTTTTAGATATTTTTCTTTGTGTGCTCATATCACGAGACTTTTATTTTTCTGAAAATGGTTTCACCGCATTAAATCTTAGGAATGTTGCCAGGATGAGCAATCAAAGTATTTTCACATAAAGTGTTCATTCAGGCGCAATTTCTTTTGTCTCAGAAAGCTTTAGTGACTATTGGTTGTTCCCAGGCTTCAATTTAGATCCAGAATAAGCCAACTGGGGATTTAGAAAACAACTCAGGAAATGCCCACGACTGGAGAAACTCAGGTTCAGATGACTGACACCAAGCCCGAGGGCCCACTGGGCAAAGCTCACGCTCCAGAGCTTACACCGTGAATTACAGTGACGATCAGAGTCAATTCTGCACCTTTTCCGATTTCTTATATTGAAAGAAATAATATTTGACAGTTCTCCCCTAAAATGTGGTCTGTATAAGAAAATTTGATTTCTGTATCCTGGGATTTAAGCCTTTTCCTTGGGGTTTTAATGTCCTATTTTTCCTGATTTTAAATAAGATACATGTTTAATGTAGAGCACCCTCGCCACCACGGACACTTTGAGCAGATAATTCTTTGTTGTCCTGGGCGGGGGCAGGTGGGGAGACGGCTCTGTGGAGCATCGCAGGCCGCTTAGCAGCATCCCTGACCTCCACCCATGACAGGCCAGCAGTTACCTCCCTCAAGGTGTGGCATCCAGACTGTCGCCGAACACTGCCAAGTGCCTCCTCGGGGAAAAACCACCTAGCTGAGGACCCGCGATGCAGAGTTTTGGGAAATACAGAAACACAAATGAATCAAATTACCCTACAGCAAAGAATTGCTAACAGGAACAGATTCTTCTTCACACGTGTTTGACTATATTGAGATAATACTGTATGTTCAATATTATATCCAGATGTTTTGTGCCTCACTTTATTAAGAGCATTTTACAACTGTATTAATATGTTTTGTCAAAATACTGAACGTCTCACATCCATCTGTGTGGATTTACCAGCCTTTAGTTATTTCTTCATACGTCTGTGCTTCCATGTTGCTTATAATATTTTATAACAAATCACGCATACATAAATGTCTAAGTACTTTCTTATACATTCAGAATATATGTTTCAGAATAAGAACCATGCCCAGAATAGAGAAACTAGTTTCCCTTGACAACAGCTGGTCAGAATCAGGCTTTGTCCAGATGAAGTAGGCGGGAAGGACCAGTTTATATCCTCGGATGAACTGTCTGGTTCATTCACTCATTGCTGCATCTACGGTGATTAATTCTCCCGATGCCTGAAGGAATCACAGGGACTAGAAAACTAGGGCAGGGATTACTCAGTATCCTCATGGATTCTAACACGTGATTAACTGGGAATAGGAGAGACTGGAAGCTTCAGGAGCCCCCCAAGGGCTAGAGGTGAACATGAGAAGAGCTACACTCAGGCATCATATCGCCTGTGCCGAGCCACCCAAGCTGCTCCCGAGGCCACAAAGGTTTGCGCAGACAATGGGACCTTCCTGAGATATGTATTTGAAGATTGCTAGCAGGGCACAGTACCTTTAAATAATAATCAATAAAGACTCTATTGATGACTACTGGACACAACTGTGTCCTATATTCCCATAAGTGTTCTGTAATTTATATTAAATAACTGGTATAAAGGATTGTTAAGCTATAAAAAAAGTATTTACACGATTACAAAATGGGACACGGAAGATAATGCTTTTGGAGACATTGTAATGGGACACGGAAGATAATGCTTTAGGAGACACTGTAAAAATAAAATAAGTGCTAAAGTGATGGTTATCAACGGTGGGTAGTTCTGAAACGCCATACTCATATCCCCAATATATGACAGTCCAGTTTCAGGTGGGGTACAGGGCTTTAGGGTCAACCTACACCAAGATCGTTTAGGTGATAGTATTTCCATAGTACTTCCCTTCCCCATCTGAAGTCTGCTATCAGAGTATCTAGGATGTCACGTGAGGTCTTCGTATTAGTCATCCATTTGGAACACACACACACACACAAACGCACACAAAACACACTCATGCATCTATGTCAAAATATATACATATATATAAATGTATACATATATATTTTAAATAGATGAGTCTATTATAGAGATACGTTTCATCAGTGTCTGTCTAAAACATTTAAATGACATTTAAATAATATTTTAGTCATATGAGACAACTCACAGGCAGCTATGTTTTAGCCAATCAGCTTTGCCCCTCCCCCCCAAAAAACCC